TTTATTATTTTTTTATTTGCTGCTGCTGTTGCTGCTGCAGGAAAAGGCAGGGGCCCCCTTGCTGCAGCACTGCGGAGAGCAGAGGGGCCCCGCTGCCGTTGCTGCAGCTACTACTGCTGCTGCTGCTGCTGCTGCTGCTGCTGCCTGCGCCGCCGACTCGACCGCCAGAGCAGCAGCAGCAGCAGCAGCAGAAGCAACGAGGAATATTTTAAATTGTTATGATTGACGGAATTTTGTTGAAAATAAAAAAAGGCAGCCACTGTGCTGCTTCTGCAGCAGCAGCAGCTGCTGCTGCTGCAGCAGCAGCAGCAGCATACTCGCTGCTGATGGCTTGTCCTCAGTCAAGCTGTCTCAAGTGCTGCTGCGGCTGCTACTGCTGCCGCTGCTGCTGCCGCCGCTACTGCTGCTGCTGCTCCTGCGGCAGCATCTGCTGCTGCAGACGCCGGGGCTGCTGGGGAGTTCTGCTGCAGCTGGCTGCACCGCAGCTTCACCGTTCACCTTATGGGTCGTGTGCTGCTGCTGCTGCTGCAGCAGCAGCAGCAGCAGCAGCAGCAGCAGCTCCAGATACAGCAAAATGCTGCCGCTGCTGAAACAGCAGCAGCAAAGACTGGCAGCAGAGTGTGCAGCAGCAGCAGCAACAACAAAAACAACTGAGGCTGCTGAGCTGGCAACGGGGACGCCCCAGTACACTTACATCCTGCTGCTGCTGCAGTGTCCTGCTGCTGCTGCAGGCTGCTGCTGCTGCTGCTGCTGCTGCTGCAGGGTGCTGCTTCTGCATGCTGCTGCTGCAGCACACAGCTGCTTCTGCACGCTGTTGCTGCCCTACACTGCTGCTGCTGCTGCACACTGCTGCTGCTGCAGCACGCTGCTTCAGTGTGCTGTTGCAGCAGCATGCTGCTGCTGCTGCTGCTGCTGTTTGCTGCTGCTGCTGTGGGTCAGTGTGTGGGCCTATCCAGGCCTTGGACTGTCTCTATCTCTCTTCTGTCTCTGTTGCTGCTGCTGCTGTTGTTTGT